TTATTGTTGACATTGTGTAAAATAAATATATGTCATTTTGGAAATGAAGTTCATTAAAAAAACAAAACTAACTGTGGCAGACCATCGCAGCAGACATGCCGCAGAGAGCAGCACTGCCTGCGAGCGTAGCAAACTCACCGTGGATGGTGGAGCAGCACTGCCTGCGAGCGTAGCAAACTCACCGTGGATGGTGGAGCAGCACTGCCTGCGAGCGTAGCAAACTCACCGTGGATGCAGAGAGCAGCACTGCCTGCGAGCGTAGCAAACTCACCGTGGATGGTGGAGCAGCACTGCCTGCGAGCGTAGCACACTCACCGTGGATGGTGGAGCAGCACTGCCTGCGAGCGTAGCAAACTCACCGTGGATGCAGAGAGCAGCACTGCCTGCGAGCGTAGCAAACTCACCGTGGATGGTGGAGCAGCACTGCCTGCGAGCGTAGCAAACTCACCGTGGATGGTGGAGCAGCACTGCCTGCGAGCGTAGCAAACTCACCGTGGATGGTGGGGAAGAGAGAGTTGATGAGATTCTGGTAGAGCTTCTTGTCGCGACTCATCTCGTACACCTTCTGCCACTCCAGGTCCGTCATCTGCTTCTTGATTGCCTCCGCCGTCACGTCGTCTCCTCTCATGTCCTTGCCGCCAAACTGCACACGTATATGAATGAAATAGGTTCATTGGATTTCGTTGAAAACCATGAATTCATATTTATCTTGTGTTAAATCCAAGAAATTAACTTACTATCGAAATTTTCGATCGCCCTTCGGGAAATCTTCATCAGTACAAACTCCACATATATGACAATTTTTACTGAAGCCGAGGCCGCCCACCTGGGGCAGGGCTCCTCGAGTGTAACACATCACGAACTTCATGATGTCACCTGTTGCCACCTATGGTGACGTCACATTCTGATGAAGATGTATAGGTAGAGAGATCATCTCCAGTTAGCATAATTACTTTTAATATTAGTTGTAACATGAACGTCATCTCGTAGACTGCGACGGAACAATAGTTACGAGTTTCTCATATACTCAGTGTACAATAGTTACGAGTTTCTCATATACGCAGTGTACAGACGTCCGGTCTGCGCCAAAAATGTTCACGTTAAGACCAATACGGTGATACATGGTACGCGAACACCATGGGATTAGAATTGAACAAGTTCTGAAGACATACTAACACAAAGACGTTAGCAATCTTTCCCTGTAAGATACTGCATGAGATTTCTAGTGAATGCAAGACATGCACTAAGGGCGCAGACTAAACTTCCTAGGTCACTTACGCGTGGGTTGGTCGGGGCCACGTGGCAGCCAAGGAAGGCGAGACGGTAATTGAGGTCACGTACGCCCAGCGCCTTGAGACCTTGCACGCCCTCGTTTTGGAATCCCTCGTTCCCGCGTATCTTGGTTCCGGTCTCCGCTCTCGCACCTGCAAAGCATGTAACACACCCTCGATCACTACACGTACCGATTTACCTCCAGCGAGTGGCGGATGATCTCCGCTGTGTGAAGAACATCGGAAAGGAGGTCATCTTACTTGGCAGAGCAAGAACTCTGTAAGAAATACGAGTGGGATTGCACTGCTGTTCGCATCATAACGTGTGGCCCACAATTTCTGATCCCTGATTGCTCCTGTCAAATGTACAGTGAAGCACCTGCTTGCGAGTTGTGAACATAACGAGGGTTAGGGCTAAGGTTAGGCTTAGGCTTAGGGTTAGGGTTAGGGTTATAGGCTTATGGTTAGAGTTAGAGTTAGGGTTAGGGTAAGTGTTTTGGTTATGGTTAGGGTCAAGGATAGAGTAAGGCTTGTGGTTAGAGTAAGGGCTAGGGCTGGGATACGTAATAGTGCTACCCGCACACACTTGCCTGGCAGAGACAGTGCGGCGACGTCGGGAACGACGATCAGAGTGCCGGTGAAGTCGCACTTGTCTCCAGCTTGCGCCATTTCCACGGCTTCTGCTCTCAGCACAATCTCCAGACTGCAGGCAAACACACGTACACGATAACGCATCCCTCGCAACCACAGTCGGTGCTCACACACGGAAAATATTACAGTCATATACTCACACGACTCGTTCATCGTTCATAACGCGAACGAACTCGATTGAGCACTGCGGGATAAACACGAATGTGTTTCCGCTCCTACATCTATGGGGATTGCATTCACTTAACGGTGAGTATATACAGAACATTATGAGAAGTGCAGGTAGAGATTTAGCTACCTTCTGGGGATAGAGCCGCGGGGAATCTCGGCCTGCGTCTCCTGGATGCGAACCTTCTGGAAGTCGACGAATCGCGACTTGTTGACGTCGAGCATGAAGCGATTTCTGTTCTGACACGCTGGGTTCCGGCAGACGGATGGCTGCGCAAGCAATCAACAACACGTCTACAGTGCATCTACACCTACAGTGCACCCTAGCTTGCCTTATCTTCCCTTAATTCATAACTCACCTTTACAACTACCCTAGCTAACATGACCTTTTTTCACCTTACTCTAGCTAACATTATCTTTTTTCACCTTACTCTAGCTAACATTACTTTTTTTCACCTCACCTTAAGTCACATTACCTTTTTTCACCTCAACCTAGCCAGCATTACCTTAGCTCACCTTACCTTAGGTAATATTTTACCATGTCCTTATGTACATTCACCCTACCATTGCTTACCTTACCTTATCTTAACTGGTATCTCACCTTATTTTACCTAGGCTGATATCTCACCTTACCGTAGCTGACTTTAGCTGATAGCATACCTTACCTTACCTTAGCTGACTTTACCTGATAGCTAACCTTACCTTACCTTAGCTAACTTTAGCTAATAGCTTAATTTACCTGTGTGTATTTGAATTGCTGCTCCACTTCCTTGATCACGGTGTGGCAGTCAAGACATATGAACGTGCCGCTGACCAGCTCCGGATGTACAGGGTGAGTGCGTACAACCTGACCGCTGATTCGCAGCAGCGAACCGATCTTAGTGGTTGTCAACTCTCGGACCCTGGTCGACAGCGCAGAGAACGTGCACTTAACTTATGCAAAGTATCTACAAGCGAAACCTACTCCTTTACTTTCATGGACAGTAATCACCATCAGGAAACATGCCGATCCTAGATCGACTTAATTTATATATTTAGAAAATGAATTTCGGTCTCTTTGCACAGGTTGATTTAAAGTTTATTTGTCATGATACTGCAACATTATTTGTAGATAAATAATTGAACAATGCTCTCATGATAGCTTGCCACTCACTTATGCCTCGTTGCAACCGCTTCAAACGAAATGTAGAATTCTTTGTTCGGAGGTACGTTCCCATGATCGTGCGCAAAGTTTCGCACAGCTCGACATACGAATGGATAGACTCTGAAACGCATAAACTGCATCACTGAACATTGATGTGGTCTGCATAGAGATGGCTTCCCTTCTCACTTATTCACACTTATGAATTCACTCAGACTCACATAAGAATGGCAGATCGATACAGTATAGATGCAGTTACCTTAATTAATACATTCCCCATTTTTCCCATCACCAGAATCACCTTTTACACGAGCCGATTACAACGACATCAACAACCAAGCAGATAAGATTTGTGATGATAATAAATAATATAGTATATGCTAGATGCTTGATGGATATAAAAGTTAGACGACGTACGCATGCACCTACATATGCATATGTTTAATCACACTATCTATAAGTAATATTACACTATAATGGATATACCTGTAATATTCTTCATGAATTGTGGTTGCAAGATTTTGGTTGTACGCTTCCAGGTCTTCAAAATTTACAGTCAGCGTATTTCGTTCTGGTCTGCCCAGCTCTTTTGCATTATTCAAATACTTCAGCTCCCCAGTACTTCTATCTTTAAACCTATATTAGAATAAATTAAATAATGTATCACTTCAAAAGTTAAAACTTCATTCTAAATCGTTTAATTTGGACGTGGAGTTGAAATGTAATGAACAATACGCTATTTGCCTACATTGATGACAGCAAGATTAAAAACATTTGAAATACAGTAAAAACCCGCGTATAAGAACATAGATTTTAAGAACATGTTAGGCTAAAATTTCCCATTTA